GTGGTTCACGAGGGCGGCCGTGCTCTGCCGTCATCGTGGAGCGGACTTGCCCAGCATTCTGCCGGCGCGACTCACGGGTGGCGCGTCTGTTGTCTGGCTGCAGATGTCGGAGGAGGCGCTCGCATCGAGTGACGCTGTGCGTGACGCTCTCTATGACGCTTTTGCGATGAATCGGTTTGCCGCGTACGACGCATATACCAGCCGACGGCTGCTGCCTGGTGAGACGCCTGACGTGTTCCTGGCGGACCTACGGCGTCTCGCAGCTCTGTGCGGTGGGGTTCCGGAAAACGTGCTTACGTGCGCTTTTGTCGCCGGCCTGCCCGACGAGGTGCGGAGGACTGTCCACGCTGGCTCCCGGGCGGAGGCTTTGAGTCTGGCGATCATCCTGGTGCAAGCCCGGGCAGTGTTGAGCGGCGAACGTGCCGGTGCGGCAGCGGCAGCGGCTAGAGGGCACGAAGAACGAGGAACCCGACAGGCGCGACCGGCAAGGCGACCCGTCCGGAAGTGCTGAACTTGCGGACAGGCCTATCACCTGGCAGAGGCGTGCCCAAACGGGCAGGGGGGCTGCGTTGGCGCCAGCGCAGTCCCCCAAGCAGTAGCGCGCGCTCTGCCAGTCGTGACACTGCTGGTGGACCAGCGTCCCGGTGTGCCCAGCTCGACACGGGATGTACGGACACCTTGGTTCACGTGAGCTGCTGCCGCAAGTGGCGCCCGTGCGCGGTCAAGATGCGAACGGTGAACGGTGGAGTGCTGCGGTGCGTGGGCACCACCCAGATAACGTTCGACTGCAGAGGCAAGCGAGTGATGCTCGCGGCGCTGGTGGTCCCGGATCGTCCATTGGGGCTGGAAGTGCTGATTGGCACGTTCGGCATCACCGCGTTGGGAGGCATCAGTGCTCGGTCCCCGGCTGGCGCGCAGCTGGGTGCGGCAACGCAGGAGGCGCCGGAATCGGCAAGTGACGAGCCGGCATGCGGCGCGGCGGCGCCGGGCAGCGGCACGCGAAGCTCACTGGCGTTGGAAGCGGCGGATGTCATGACTCGGTTCGACGGCGCTTACTGGAGTGTGGCATGGAAGTGGGCGCACGGACGTGGTCTCGAACGTCTGGGGAACACCGTGAGTGAATACGCTGTGCCGGCTGAAGCACGAGAGGCCTACGAGCGCGAGATGGCTGAGTGCGTGGTGAACGGATGGCTCCGGCCCTATGGCGAGCAGGAGGACGGGCCCGCTCGGGCATGATTCCCTTGATGGCAGTTCAACAGCCGCACAAGGGGAAGCCCAGGCCGGTGTTGGACTACCGCGAACTCAACCGGCATGTGACCGCGCACACTGCGGATGCCGACGTGTGCCCCGAGCAGTTGCGCCGCTGGCGCCAGCATGGTGCCCGGTTGGCCATGGACGACCTGCGAAAAGCGTACTTGCAGCTGCGTCTGGAGCGCCGACTGTGGCCGTATCAGACGGTGCAGGTCAGGGGCCGCACCTACAGCCTTACGCGGCTCGGATTCGGCATCAATGTGGCGCCGCTCATTATGAAGGCCGTTGTTCAGGCGGTGTTGCGTGAGAACGAGGCGATCAGACACGGAGTGCCCGCCTGTGTGGACGACCTGCTCGTCGACGAAGACGCGGTCAGCGCCGACAAGGTGGTGGAGCACTTTGCGAGGTACGAGCTGGCCTGCAAGCCGCCGGAGCGCGTCGCGGACGGAGCGCGAATGCTCGGCCTTCGAGTCGAGTTTCGGGATGATGAGCTGCGGTGGTGTCGAGACAATGAGGTACCTCCACCGCCGACCGAACTCACCCGGCGTGCAGTGTTTGCGTGGTGCGGGCAGTTGGTGGCGCACCTCCCCGTGGCGGGATGGTTGGGGCCAGCAACTGCGTAGTAAAGAGGCAAGTGAACGGACTTATGATCGGGTGGGACGACCCAGTGTCGGATGATGCGTTGCGCGCACATGTCCGGGAAGTCACAACGCGAGTGAGGGCAGCTGACCCTGCTTGTGGGCCGTGGTGAATGGTCGGCCGGGAGCTCGTGGTGTGGACTGACGCGAGCGCCATCGCGAACCGGGTTGTCCTGGAGGGTGCGGAGGGCGGCGTTCTCGAGCATGCCGCGTGGCTCCGGCCAGAGTCCAAGGCGGCGGACCACATCAACGTGGCCGGATTGGACGCGGCGATGAGTGTCGTGGACATGGCCCTGGCATTGGGCGTTAAACGCTTCAGCTTACGCACGGGCTTGGCCACAGTGTTCAAGTGGTTGAGTGACGCCTTGAGCGGACGCCCTCGTCTCAGAACAAAGGCGCAAGGGGAAATACTGATCAGACGCGGGATTGGCTTCATGTGACAGTTGGTCGACGAGCTCCAGCTCTCGGTGACCCTCCAGCTGGTGCGGTCACAAGACAATCCTGCCGACGCGCTCACCATACTCCATACTCACCATACTCCCCATACCTGGCTGCAAGCACAGCCTCGAGACGCGACTTCAGTCGCAGCAGCCGCCGCGCCAAAATGTTTCGCGGCACCCCCGCGAGACGCGACTTCGGTCTCCGTGACTATCGGGACGGAAGAAGTCGCAGCGCCCCCGGCGGACCAAGAAGCCGCTCACGAGTCCACGGCAAGCGACGTTCGTGCCCGGATTAAACGTATACACGAATGGAGGGGGCACCAGGGGATCCGCTGGTCCCTGTGGTACCCCAGACGGGGCCTCGGCGGACGCGTCGTGCGGGCCGACGTGCGAGCCGCCGTCAACCAGTGCGATGTGTGCCGTTCGATTGACCCGGCGCCGACTTGCTGGCGGTCCGGCTCACTCGGCGTCCCGACAACATGGACCCGACTCGCGATTGACGTGACCCATTGCCAGAGCCGCCTCTATCTCACGATCGTAGGCTGCGGACCGTCCCGGTACAGCATTTGGAGCGCGCCGCGACGGTCTGACGCGGCAGAAGTGACGAACCATCTGCATCGAATGTTCCTAGAACGCAGCGCGCCGGCTGAGCTTCTGCTGGACAATGCCATTGAATTCTGGAGCCGGCGAATGGCTGCATTCGCCGAGGAGTGAGGGGTTCGGCTGCGGTTTCACGCGGCGCACGGGGCCGGGGGCAACGGAATCGTGGAGCGCCATCACAGAACTATAAAGATGATGGTCGCCCGCCAACGGTGCTCCGTCAGTGAAGCGGTGCATCTGTACGATGCGACTCCGCGGGACGGTGCTAACTCGCTGAGCGCGCCGATGGCGCAGGTATTCCGCGCAGCCGGTGCCGACCTGTCGACCAACTAGCGCGCTGCCGAACCCACACCGCCGCTGATACAGGAACTCGTCTCATCATCGTTTTGCGTCGACGATGCGGTGTGGATGCGGTGCCGGGGTCCCGCCACGCGGTGTACCGACGTGTCGCACCAGGGCGTGGTTACGTGGGTCGTGTCGGACCAAGTGGCTGAGGCCGACGGCACGCCCTGGCATGTGCGGTGCCTGCGGTGCCGGAACCCGCAGAAAGGCTCAGACGGGAGCCGAGTGCTCAGCGCGGGTGAGGAGTTTGGGGATGCCACAGGCACGCTGCCGATGGCGAACATTGTGTCGAATCATGAGTCCACGGGGCGCGGTTCAGATCCGCCTGCCGTGCCATCAAGCCCGTTGGTCGCGGACCCTGCTGAGCGCCCAACGCTATCGTGGAGCGATCGCGATGAAGTATCGAGCGCCAGTACGAATTCTCAGTCATTGTACTGTGGTGAGCATGAACTGGATGAGTGCGGTGTGCGCGAAGATGAGTTGTTCGTGTCCAGCAACGGTGCGACGCTACCACCGCCTCGGCCCGATCCTCCACAGGGAGAGGGAGAGTCGCAGGAACCGCGGACGAGCGGTCGCGCTCGCCGGCAACCAGTCGAGTTGTACGGCTTCAGGGTCCCCACCGATCTCATTGACGATTATGCGTGTTTGTAGATTGGTAGGGTTGCATAATTGCGCACAATCAGGTGGTGCGGTGTGATTGTGTGGGGCGTGCGCCCTCGCCCTCGCTGTTTTCCGAGCTCTACATTTGACTGGGTGCCGGGGCGTCACGTGAGCGCGGGTCTCCCGGTTCGCCGGGGTCAGGGGTCGGCCGCTGAGGCGGCGGCAGGGACCCGACGCTCGCAGGCGCCAGCCGGTCTTTGGAAGAGTCCAGGGGAATACACGCTACGTTCTCTTACATATTGCCACCAGTATGCAAATGATAAAACGCATCCAGCTTTAAACAAAATTTGACCGTTGCCATCCCGCCTTCCTCAACATTCTTACAAGATAAGCACTGATGTTAACATTCAGCAACATTTGTTAACGGAGACTGGCCCTTTTGGAATCACGAAACGTTCTCTCGAAAAACTCAGTACGTAACCTCGTGGACAGGCGCACCATATGTAAGGGCAGGAGATGGGAACATGGCTGGGACAGACGACCTGTCGAGAGCCAGACCCAACGCAAAAATGCTTTGAACTCATCTGCTCAACATGGGTAACACGGTAATGCAAGGATACCGATCCCCAACTGAAATAAGAAAGGTCAGCGAGGGTACAGGGCAGTGTCAAATTTCATAAAATATTGGAAACTTTGTAAAATAATGTTGAGCTTAAATTCCCCCATCTTATCTTAAGTTCGTCTTAAATAGCTTTAAAAAGAGATGCTGACAGCATCACACCAGTGCCAATTTGTGTTATGTTCCATTCAAAATACTTGACACAAACTGCCTTTGGCCCCCGCGAGGGAAGGGCGTGTTCCTCCTGGCCTTGTATATGGTACGCTCGCCCCCGAGAATCCGCGTTCAGCCCTGGGAGGGCCGGCGCTCCGCCGGTTAGGTGCGGCCCGCCGAATCCCGGGCCTCCTTCGCGCGCTACGCCGTGGTCCGCGGTCCGCGGTCCGGCGGGCGCCTTGGACCGCTGTTTGTTTGAAGTTGCCAACGCGCCATCGATCGCCGCTGGAAGTGTGGCCGGTGGGGGTAAGGGGGGTGGGGGTGGGGGCGCGTTACCTGCCCAGTCCGCCTGGACACGCGGCCGACCGAGAAGCCGACTCTACCTCCGCCTCCGTCCACCGTACACCTGCAGCCAACATGAAGGTGAGGGCAGCTCTGGCGTAAGGCTGAGAGTGCGGTAAATCGCCGGTGCACCTGCATTTCATGTACTAGCCCGTCTCGTGCTGCCGCTATAAGGCTGAAAAATAAGTTGGTACCAATCTTAAGTGCACGACGAAGGGCGTTAAGGAAGGAAATGCATGGAGTGTCTTCAAGTGTATCAAATTAGCCAATAAAGTTTACTTTGAAAACGTCTGTCATATCTTGTCACCATGCCTGTTTTCATCGTTTCACATGCATAATATGTTTTATGTGGTCCCACGTGACTAAAGGCGCAACCATGATATTACGAACATCTACGTGGCAACGAAATAGAAACGCTTCCATGCCAAAATCTAGCGGCTGTTTTGAAGGACTTGGGGGCCAACGATGGTTCTGTTCCTGTTCATTCCAATTTTCGTGCATTCAGTATTTGGTGCAAACTTAGGTTTGTCTCAAAAAACGCTGCCGAGAAGTGGGCCTGTGTGCACCATTCAACTTGGCTTGATAAACACGACGAACTGGTGTTTCCATTTATTTTTATTTTTACAAAATACAGCGCGTCACGCACAGATGATAAGCATCACGTTATTATGCAGACGAGACCGTGTCTCGGGAAAAAGCTGATTGATGATGCAGCCAAATCTACCAAAAATATGGACCCCGTAGTCTGACCAACCTGCAGATCAAGTTTAGGTCAGTCCAGTTGCTTTGGGCCTCGACCTCGAAAAAGCCAGCACTTGTGTCGGGGGGATGGGGGGGGGGGGGGTGAGCATCGCCTACGTCCTACCAGCCCAGCCAGATGCGGCATCTCGTGCGCACAGGCTATCAGGGGGTCGTGATCGCGATACGCATCGAGGCTCGGGTCAGTCAGCGCCAGCAGATCGATAAGAACGACATTGCCATGCCACAACACACTTCTTGCTTGCTGAAATACGTGGACGTTCCCGCGTCTAACGGGAAAGGAAGAGGGGAGAGCGACCAGGCCTACCTGCTGCCCAAGAAGATGACGGGCCGGATAACGGAAACAGTTGTGTATGTGTATATCTTTGGTTACGATAGAGAACCCCAGATAACAAGGCATGGGACTAGGCCAACCAACCAACAACTGTGCATTAAATGCGTTGCGAAGACCATTGCGGCGCCACATGATTCTTATTGTGCCATTTTTCGCCAGCCGCTCGTTCTTTGCACTGCAACATCTTTGTAAACTTCAGGTGTTAACATGGGTTCCGTGGGTGGCTAGTACTCTGTTCGCACCAGCATAACGGCAGTGCCTCAAAACTTCATGGCGCCGCGAAGCCAGGAAAATCTGCAGAAGTGGTACCATGACCCGTCCCAAGGAGTTGGGACCTTGTATTGTTGTATGCAGTTCGTACGGGTGGAAGCCGTTTGCATTGTACATGGAAAACAGGAGAGAACCATCTTTGCTTTCTTTTAAATAAGATGAGGCGAGCCATGTTTTTATGAACCCAACACGACAAACTGAGAAATTCGCCATTAAGACATGCTCACGCAGTGAATGTTAGTGCAGAGTTTTGGGTCGAACGCACCCTTCTCTACGGATAGTGTCTTAAATTTTCATGGCGGTACATTCCGACATTGGTGGATCTTCGCGTGGTAACCTTTTCCCAAAACTTCTGACATCATCGCAAGATGCGTGACTGTGTGGTCCGATGCATAACAACACATGAAATGGTCGTGGTCACCTACTGGGCCAACAGGAAAGGACGCGAAACCGGAGCCTGGTCTCAGGAAATGAGCATTGCTACCCTGCCATTTCCCACCCTTGTCTGTCTTTTCACGCTGTGACAACCCACCACCTATCCACAATACACCTTGTGTTTGGAAACGCAATGGTATGCCTGTCATGCGTGGCCTAAGCACTGGACGTCTCTTTAGTAGTGGGTGACAGCCTCTAGCAGCAGGTTCGCTTCCGCAAAAATATTGGAGACAATTGTCCATTCCTGATGGGAAAAGTCATGGGTGAATAGGCTGTGCCAAAGCAAACATGGTCACGAAACGCAGGTCGGTACAAACCTTTCGCCGCAGCCACCTTGTGAGCCTGTGCCGCAAGGAGAACGCATGTACACTAGGCCCAACCATCATCCTCTCTGACAGGCGGGAGTGCGCGGGGAGCTAACCTCCTGCACGCCTCACCCGCCACGTGCTGCTCGCAGGGCGGCACCATAAAGCCCGAGGGCGTCCTCAGCGAGCCAGACGCCGACAAGCTCGGCCGGCGGCTGCACAAGTCAATGAAGGGCGTCGGCACCGACGAACGTGTCATCATCGAGATCCTGACCAAGCACAGCGCCGCAGATCGCAAGACTATCGGCTCCTGCTACAAGATGAAGTTTGGACGGGTAAGATGCGACCTGACCGCTACAACGTGCAGTTCGGAAGGGTAAGATGTGACCTGAACGCTACAACGTTCAGTTCGGACGCGTAAAATGCGGTCTGGCCGCTACAAGGTTCAGTTCGGACGCGTAAAATGCGGTCTGGCCGCTACAAGGTTCAGTTCGGACGCGTTAAATGCGGTCTGGCCGCTACAAGGCTCAGCTCGGACGGGTGAAATGCGGTCTGGCCGCTACAAGGCTCAGCTCGGACGCGTAAAATGCGGTCTGGCCGCTACAAGGTTCAGTTCGGACGCGTAAAATGCGGTCTGGCCGCTACAAGGTTCCGTTCGGACCCGGAAAATGCGGTCTGGCTGCTACAATGCTCAGCTCGGACGTGTAAAATGCGGTCTGGCCGCTACAAGGTTCAGTTCGGACTCGTAAAATGCGGTCTGGCCGCTACAAGGTTCTGTTCGGACGCGTAAATTGCGGTCTGGCCGCTACAAGGCCCAGCCCGGACGCGTAAAATGCGTTCTGGCCGCTACAAGGTTCAGTTCGGACGCGTAAAATGCGGTCTGGCCGCTACGAGGTTCTGTTCAGACCCGTAAAATGCGGTCTGGCCGCTACAAGGTTCTGTTCAGACCCGTAAAATGCGGTCTGGCCGCTACAAGGCTCAGCTCGGACGCGTAAAATACGGTGTGGCCGCTACAAAGTTCAGTTCAGACGCGTAGAATGCGGTCTGGCCGCTACAAGATTCAGTTCGGACGCGTAAAATGCGGTCTGGCCGCTACAAGGCTCCGTTCGGACGCGCAAAGTGCGGTCTGGCCGCTACAAGGCTCAGTTTGGATGGGAAAGATGCGGCCTGGTCTCTGCAGCGTGGAAAGATCAGGTAGGGGATTTCTGGTGATAGGTATAATGGTGAAACGGTACGTTTAGTAGACGTGTAAGTTTTGTGGATGTAAGGTTGGGTTTGGCTGCATAGATTACCGATGGGGAACTACACAATGGTCAGAGACACCTTTCTATTCAGGGCCACCAGGCCATCGTCTAGCTAGAATGTCACGGGGCTGGTATAATAATTAGACAATTACAAGCTAAGAACTCCAATCAACCGCAGCGCTTTCCATGCAAACTTTCCACTACAAGTACCTCCTAACGTACTGAAATACACAATTGCATGAGCGTAGGTAATTTGACCTTGAATATTTGACTGTGCATGTCCAGAAATGCAGATTAATGCAACTGAAATCGCCTTTAATCGGCTTGAAAACTTTTTATCGGCTGAAATTGTATTGAAAATTGTATTTATATTGAAAAATTTAATCGGCTACACCCACAACCTCAGGGCACGTAAGCGCAGCGTGACGGTCGAAAGACAGGCAGCTTGTCCAGCCTACTGACGCGGTTCCAGGCACAAGTCATACGTTTACGATGGGGCCACTGTACGCATGTATACATTGGAGAGGCAAGGGCCCGAAATTCATGCGAAGGTATGCGTTCCACCGGCATTTCTGGTTTCAGTAGCTCTCGATCCCTGATGCCTTCGGCACGAAGGCCAATGAATTTGAGCGTCTTCCATTCTAGCTTGCCGCATGCGAACTCTGGGCTGCTGCAGTTTTGACCTCGCCACCGTGCCGACAGGATCTGAATGCGGTTCTGACCTCGCCACCGTGCCTAAAGGATCTGAATGCAGTTTTGACCTCGCAACCGTGCAGACAGAATCTGAATGCAGTTCTGACCTCGCCACCGTGCTGACAGGATTTGAACGTAGTTTTGACCTTGCCACCGTGCCGACAGGACCTGAAGGCTGACCTGAAGGCGGAGCTTGGAGGCAACTTCGAGTCAGCCGTGCTGGCGCTGTGCGAGTGGGACAACCATTACCTGGCGCAGTGGTGCCGAAAGGCCATTCGGGGCCTCGGCACCGACGAAAGCACGCTCATCGAAATTCTCTGCGGCTGCAAGCGGGATATGGTGGCGCAGGTGGACGCCGCCTACAAATACCGTGAGTAAGCCAGGGGTGATCGAGGGGTCTGCAAGCGCCTGAGTGGGTCAGGTGCCGCCGATGGGTCTACAAGCACCGGGAGTGTGGAAGGGGACATATATATAGGTCTACACGTCCGGTGAGTGGGTCAAGGGACTGCGGAGGGCCTGTATCGGGAGGAGCAAGGGGCTAGTCGGCTAGAGACCGTCGAGGCGTCTACAGGTGCGTTCTGTGGGCCAAGGGACATCGAGGAGTATCCAAGCGCCGTGAGCGAGTGAGGGGCCGTGGAAGGGTCGCAAGCATCGGGAGTGGGGCGGGACGGGTGGTGGTAGTGATGGATGGGGGAGGGGGCAGAAGCCGACTTTTGCGACGCGGCCGGTTGTTAGATCGCGAGGAAGGAGTGCAAACGACCACCACCCGGAGGCTTCCGTTCACGTCTCTGTGGTGCTGGTATGACGTCATGACATTGGGTGCAGCAGTTAGACTTCAGTTTATGGCGAGCATTCGTGTGCACGCCGCATTTCTGAAAGCAAGGTACTGATTTCTCCGATTCAGACTGAAGTCGTTACTCCTGGATTTCGCGATCCAGAAACGCCCATGTTGGTCCTATTAACGTCGCTGATGACATCACAGATCAGAAAGCACAACAAATATACACATAAGCGATGACGTTCAACATATGTGCAAAGGTGCGTTGAAGTGCGAGGAATTGCCAGTTTGCTTCTCTAATACCTGGCTAGGCTGCACAAATCGCGCTCATGCGAAGATAGAATAAACTAATGACAGTCGAGTACTTGTAAAGGTCAAATATCGATCCATAAACCAATATCTAGTGCTACACACGTCTGGGGATTGCAGCTGGACGACAGTATCAAACTTTTGAAATAATTTCAAAATGTGTATCCGAGTAATGGCTTGCGTCATTGTTGGGCGCAGCCTAGTGGTAGAAAACGTTAAGCAGCATTTCCAGAAATTGGCCACAAATTGTCTTTCTAAAGGGTAGCCCAATGACACTAACCAAGCCGGCGATAATTTCAACATATGTAGGGTGCGCAACATAATCCCAAGTTGACCAAGAGTGACTGCAAACGTAAGGACATGCGAGGGAGCCCCTGCAGTGTTTCAATTCCGACAGAATCATCGTAAAGATCACACAAAGTCCAATCTGTGCCTTGTTGTTGTAATTCACTGCAGCCTTAGCAAAAAGGCAAGACACATGATCCATTAGCAGTGTTCTGGCATGAGCCTGGGGGAACGTGGCTATAAGGCTGTCAACCTCAGGCAATACGCCTACACCGAACACCGGCCACTGCGTTCTGCAGCAATGATTGCGTTATAAAGAATTCGTTACACCGTTGTATTTTAGAAGCAGACAGCTGCGAGACCGTAACATGTTGTGGTGTCTAGCCTCGTTTGAAACAAACCGTGGTTGACCCCGCCGCAGTGTTTGACCGTTAAAGTGAACCCACCGCAGTGTTTGACCGCAGACGTGACCTCGCCGGTTTGTTTGACCGTTGACGTGACCACGCCTGTGTGTTTGACGGCAGACGTGACCCCACCGGTGTGTTTGACCGCAGACGTGACTCTACTGCGGTGTTTGACCGCAAACGTGACCTCGCCGGAGTGTTTGACCGCAGACGTGACCCCGCCATGGCATTTGACCGCAGACGTGACCCGTCGCAGTGTTTGACCGCAGACGTGACCCCGTCGCAGTGTTTGACCGCAGACGTGAAATCGCCGGAGTGTTTGACCGCTGGCGTGACTCCACCGCGGTGTTTGACCTGTGACGCAGCCCCGCCGCAGCGTTTGACCACTAGCATGGCTCCACCACAGAGTTTCGCCGCTCGCTGGAGGAAGACATCGAGTCGGAGATGGGTGGCGACGTCAAGCGCCTGATGGTTGCGCTGCTGCAGGACGGCAGGGAAAACGACGACGTCGGCGTCAGCCCGCAGCGCACCAAGGATCTGGCCCAGGTCAGTGTTCGGCAGAGACCGGCAGCACATGTACTGCATGGGCTCAGGCCGATCCTCGAAGTGCTATTACTGGTGAGCAAGCTTTGCACCATGAATGCATTCGATTGATGGCGAAACTAACCAGGATTAGGACCTAACCAGGATTACCTCCAACTTCACTTGCCGCACTCCAACACTGCGTTGCCCGACACAACTTGAAAGATGCATGCGATCAACCTTGCAGCTGCTGAACATATAGGATCGCAGCCTACCTGCGTGACATGCCACCTCACAGTCGCATGCAAATATTCCTGTATTTGACTGACTGACTGACTGACTGACTAACGACTGGCATGGTACCACAGTCGGCTGACATATATCGGTCGTGTTTACAGGAGCTGTATGAGGCAGGAGAAGGCATGAATGGCGGGACAGACGAGGAGACGTTTATCCGGATCTTCTGCACAACGAACTACCCCCAGCTCAAGAAAACGTTCGAGGAGTACAACAAGTTTGCGGATAATTCGATAGAAAATGCCATCGAGAAGGAGTTTTCAGGAGCCCTGAAGGATGCTCTTGTGGCTGTAGGTGAGGAGTGCCGATGCATAACACGTGCGTTTTCACCAAAACTGTTATGTCATAATGGTTCATAATGGTAAGCCTGGCAACACTACACACGTAGTCACAAACAAAATTTGCACTGCATGCCTTCGTGAAAACTGCTGTTCGTGGAAAGTTTGGGGATATGGGAAAGCCATCGGTAGAAGTTGAACATAAATTTCGTTTAATGTCCCAGCGGCTGTCACACAATACATTCTGTTTGCATCAACGAAAGCAGTGGTGAACCTGTGTGTGCAGCTTCATAAATTTCTCAAATTACTTAGAACTAGCAGACTCAAAGATCTAAAACGATTAGATGCCAGATAAATAGGACAGGGAAGGAACAGACCATTATCGCTTGTGCCGAGAAGTCCACTGGTACCGGGTGGTTCAATTCACGAAACCAGGATTCTAGGAACCAGGAATCCTAACCAGGATTACCTCCAGCTTCACTTGCCGCACTCCGTTCTCCAGCGCACTGCTCACTGTTGAAGATGTCTATCGAAGAGAGCATTGGAGGCCCAATGACACGGCGAGTCCCCAGCGAAAGTGCTTTATCGCAACACGCACACAACGCCACGTAAAGAATCGCTGGTCGCACTCATCGCCGCCATCTTATCGCTTTGATCTCGCCGATAATTACTCCGCTACTCCGTTCTACCCGATTCGTATCGAGGAATGCACGTGCACGCTTAGGCCAGCGTCACATCAGGGCGCGCACCGAGCTTAGAGCGACGCTTCCCGTATTCGAGGCCTACGACGTGCCGCCTAGTCACGTGACATTTACGTCGCCACCCGCCCCGGCCAAACCCGCCCAGGGCACGCCAAGGTCAAGAAAGGTCACCGTACAACTGCGCACACGAGGAACTCGGGAGGGTGGGCGTGTGTGTGTGTGTGTGTGTGTGTGTGGTGCGTGCTGTGTGGTGCGTGTGTGTGTGTGTGTGTGTGTGTGTGTGTGCTGTGTGTGGCGTGCGTGCGTGCGTGTGTGCGTGGTTGTGTGTGTGTGTGTGTGTGTGTGTGTGTGTTGTGTGTGTGTGTGTGTGTTTGGTGTTGTGTTTGTGTTTGTGTGTGTGTGTGTGTGTGTCTGCATGCTTGTGTAGGTGCGTTTATGTGTGTTTATATTTTTGTGCGAGTGTGTGGATGCGTGTTTGTATGGTTGTGTAGGAGTGTGCATGTGTGTTTGTATGTTTGTGTAGGTGTGCACACGCGTGTTTGTGTACGTGCGGGTTTGAAAATAATTGGACTGCCATGTACTTCTCATTTCACTAACTATGGCTTCCGCATTACCATGCGTTGTGCTGTGTCTGTTTCAGTGCTGTGCGTCAAAGATCAGAACAATTACTTTGCTAAGGTGCTACACGATGCGATGAAAGGTGCCGGCACTGACGACGACACACTCATCCGCATATTGGTCACACGATCAGAGGTTAGTGAGTGGTTGGGAAGAGGTTACAGTCCGTGAATGTCTTACGAGGTCACAGGACTGGTCCTACCATACGAAACCAGGGGTTTGCGGTTTGCCTCGGATGATAGATACTAAGAAATAGTCAATAACGTCAGCGGATATATTGCGGGGCCGTGTCCGTGACGCGTGAATGAGGTCAACGTCCCATAGCCAACGAACAGTACACTGTATCTCCCGAATTGATTGATATGGTTCACTCGAGGTAACAGACGTTATTGGTCAGCGCTAGGTTACGTCTATCAATAAGTTCACGGATTGATACTGCAATGGATTTGAAGGCCACTGGTTAGCACAATTCCGCAAGTCTTCAATAACGGGAGCAGGGCGCTGGTCATTGAGATGCTATCTACTTACCAAATGTCACGTGACATGGAAACTAGACCTCAAAGGCAGGACATCTTAAATGAGGGATTTTGTTCGTTAGTTCGTAATGCATTCTAGCCATATGCTCCAGCTGAGTTCGCTTAAAACTCGACCCGCCCCCGCGTGCTCTCGAAACTGAAAGTGCATTCTTGGTTCTCATGCAATGTTATGACAACTATGTCCTCAGATCGACTTGGAGGACATAAAGGAGGCCTTCAAGAAGGCCTACAAGAAGACGCTGGCCGAGGCGGTCACGTCAGAGACATCCAGGGACTACCAGAAGATACTGCTGGCCATCATCAAGTAATGAGCGCACCTGAAGTGCTGCTCTCTGGAAGCGGTCAGCTGAGGAACTGCGCAATCGCAGCCAATCGGTCTGTGCTGTGAACAGGTGTTATCTGTGACCCCGGCCGTGCGTGTTACGCTGCCCCTGACTCCAAGAACGAGGCATGTACTGCATTTGATTGTTTGAAAATTGATTTGAACCTTACTGATGAGACCTTTCACGTAGGCGGTGTGGCGGGATGCGGCAGCACCGCCCTGTGTGTGGCGTGTGCGGGATCGGCCGCTGCTCCGTCCGCGTTCCAGCGAAGGGAGCACCGGCACACATCAGTAGCCAGCCGGTGCCATCCAGCCTATTGCTGTGGAAGCTCCAGCCTTTTGCTGCAAAGCCATCCGTAAACCAGAGCAAATCATGCGATGATATCGGGCTATAACCAGTGCCAGGATTCTGACAAGTCCTTGACATTCTTAGGGATCTGCAATAACTCTGGACAGCGTGGAGACGTGCGCAATGAATGCTGCCTCTTGTCACACATCTCGTGTTACACCACACTATGCATAGACTTTGTGTGCCACAAGTGTTGCGATTTAATTCCCGCCTGGTGCGAAACGTGTTGCGTGCAGTGAATTGCAATACATTTCCTATAATTTGACCGTCTCTGGACCATGCTGCTTTGTCTGCGCGCACGTACCATCGGAAGCAGCCATTCGTACGCTTAGTTACAGGAACGCTTGGTGCTTATAAGAAATGTCGTGGCAGTGGGTTTAATCACCTGTAGGCAATGTGCACAAGCATTGTCTGAGGTGAAAATCGAAACCCACGAGCTTAAGTCATTGGAGGTAACTATAAACTGGAACAAATCTTGACATCGTAATTTTTGCGCACAAAAAGTCCCGTCGCATCACGCAGAACACTATCAGGTTTGGACGGATATGTAGACTCCTTTTTGCGTCACCTGAACTCACTCTGTCAGCCACCGTGCGTACGTTTTGATTGACATCTCCATTCAGCCTTTGGCAGTCATCTGCTAGAACGGCTTCGTTTTCAGACGCATTCAGTGGATCGGATGGCATGCGTTACTAGCTGTTTATCTCTCGTCGAACAAGCGGAACTTCAATATACAAAAAGTCATTGACTGAGGCGCGGCTGGCCGATTATCCTCTCTTTTAAGACAGTCCAGCTCTTCCTGCATTGTCTGGCCATAGCTTCACGTTGCCCGATCTGATTAGAAAGTTGACCTTTCCTGTTAGTAGCTGTAAGATATTAACTTTTTCAGCTGGGCATGCATTTGTTGACGTAAGAGCTCCGGTGTGTGTATCTCTTTTGGTGAATGACTAGATTGTCACATCTCTTTCTGTGCATACCAGCCCAAAATTTTCGGGGTACAAATTTGACTTAACACGTGCTCAGGTGAGGGTGGGGGGTCAAATTGACCCCCCCCTCCGAAGGTTTTTCCCGAATGGTTTCCGAACGACGCGGAGTGGCTGTGCCAAACTTTGCATAGCTATATGAAATTGAATAGCGGATCGTTTGACATCAAAAATTTAGATGTATATTGTAGCGTCGCTGACCTATGGCAGGTCAAATTCAGGCCATGGTTTTAGCGAAGGCAATTTCTAGGGAATCGTCCAATCTGATACAATAACGGAGTGTTTGACGAGGCCATACATCTCTGAGATGCTTTCTTAGGCCCCACAAATATTGAATGAGCAAATTACATTTCCCTAAGGTTAGGTGTGAAGGTCAGACCAAGGTCAAAACCAACCTTTGTATTACTCTAAGGCTTGCTTGCTGTATGAGATAGTTTGTGGTGTTCATTTCGAATTTATTGACAGCGGGAACCGCATTAGACATCTTCTATTGACTTCTTACAGGTCAGAACAGGTCATGGACCTAAGATGACCCGGGTCGACATGCCTAGCGTAATCATTGTCGCTTATTTAGATGCGAAACTCAGGGCAGTCTTGTATGATTATGGTCGCCAGGACCTTTAAAAGCTCAAACACGATCACTTATCTCAAATGGGTTTACGACCTTTTGCTCAGAAACAGTTGCCTAGGTTTTGGGGACACTTTAGAGACCAATCTGTAAATTTACCTTGTTTGACCTTATTTTTTACCTTAAGGTCATGACCTGTAAAGCTCAAACTTTGACCAAAGTGAGTTCACGTACAGGTCAAGACACACTAAATTTGGTGCCTCTAGCTTTCTTAGTTCCCGAGATCTCAAGTGGGGTCAAATTGACCCCCCCCCCCGAGCAAAGGGTATCTAGCCGGCCACCCGGGCGCGTGTTAAGCGTTGTGTTTTTGATATTCAGCCCTTCATAAAAGGTCGTGTTTAGACATCAAGGTGGTGTCTGAACCAACATTTTTTAATGGTCACTGCGCCCGTGGTGTTTACACCATTTTATTGGAACTAAGGCGGTTGAGATTAGAATGTGTATGAATGCCACGTATCTTAATAAATTTGAGAGAGATGATTGTAGGCAGTTCCAAAGAAGGTAAAAAGTGATGAGCATCAGTTCTTTTTGTTCTTTGTGTCTATGCTGAGGAATATAGGCGTAAATAGCAAACCATTTCGTTTGATTCCATATTCATAGCTTTTGTTCTCCTAGGAACTGTGCGTGATGTTTTACGAATTATATGTATACATTTATACATATACTTTCATATATGCATGCACATATATGCTGTCATATATATATATATATATATATATATATATATATATATATATATATGTATAAAATGCAAGCACATATGACAAACCCCCATATGTTGTGCAAGGGCAGATCTAGGTAAACGAGGCACCATTAGCGCTAATTTTCTTTGTCAAACCGCCATTTGGTGAACTATAAACTCACGTTGTAACACGCGCCCGGTTGGCCGGCTCGATGCCCCTCGCTTGGGTGGGGGGTCAGTTTGAGACCCCCCCCCCGCTGAGATCTCGGGAACTAAGAAAGCTAGTGACACCAAATTTAGAGTGTGTTGACCTGTACGTGAACTCACTTAGGTCAAAGTTTTAGGTTGCTAGGTCATGACCTTCGGGTCAAAGAAGGTCGGATAACAACAGACAAAGGTCAAGCTCCAGGTTGGTCTCCAAGCGCCCCCAGAACCTAGATAGCCGTTTCTAAGTAAAAGGTCACATGCTCATTCAAGGTCAGTAACCTTGCTTGATCTTTTGAAGGCCGAGGCGACCAAAATCTTGCAAGTTTGCTTTGAGCTTTGCATTTGACTAAGCGACAAAGATTACCCTAGAGTGTATGTTCCTAAAAAAAATGTTGACCTGGGTCGTTTTAGGTCAATGACCTATTCTGATTTCTAAGAAGTCTATGGAAGATGGATAATGCGGTTCCTGCTATCAATGAATTCAAAACGAGCACCAGAAGCTGTCCCGTACAGCAAGCCCCAGAGTGGCAAAACAAAATGGCTTTGACCTTGGTGCAAACCTTTATACCTGACCTTAGGTCAATCTAATTTGCTTATTCAACTGTTGTGTTGCCTAAGAAAGCATCTCAGAGATGTATGGCTTCGTCTAACACTCCGTTGTTAGATCAGATTGAAGGACTCCCTAGAAATTGCCTTGGCTGAAACCGTGGCCTGTGTTTGACCTGCCATAGGTCAGTGACCTTACTAGGTACACCTACATTTTGATGCAAAACGATCCGCTTATTCAATTGTCTACACAGCTATGCAAAATTTGGCGCGGCTACGCCGCGCCATTCGCAAACCATTCTGGAAAACCCTTCGGGGGGGAGACAATTTGACCCTCCCACCCGAGCGCATGCTAACAGTCCACTGGTTCACGTTGCATGTTTTTTCATGCACCTACACTTCTTAATCTCACATCCAGGAAACATAATGCTCCAGACGATGACGCACGCAGATCAAATGCACAGAAGAGCTATTGTATGTTACATCTGGAGATGGAGTAAGTAAAAAGCCCGGTTAAGTTTGCAACACGCATTATATTACTGTGCATGCACAACATGATGTATGCATACATGTGCATTAGTATGTATTATAGTCTAACTTGACCTCTTAATCCTGCTGGAGTATACCGCATGCCTTTTTTCATTTGGCCCCAGGCAACGCAGATACACCAACCCCATAACGATGGGCTAAAGCCTGTCACAATGGAAGCATTATCGAAACGTTCAACATGTACTGTAGGTAGGTGTAAAAACAAAACTAATAAAATCACTACTAAAATCTAAGCTTTACACGCCTGTGATTGCCACTTTGCATCATCTGACTGCGTTTCAGCTGAAATATTCTGTGCGTCACCAGTGTTCATGATGGATGTGACTGAAAAATATGCGATACTTAGCTTACTGTGACTGAAAAATATGCGACACTTAGCTTACTCCAGCACTGTAACATCTATATCAATTGCAGGAAAAATCACCAAATTTCAAAGCGCTTTGGCAAGCAGCCGCGGAGAAGCTAATCAAAATTTCTCCCAGGCACGGAATTTCCCCCAGCAAGGAAGAAAGTTGCTAACACTGCTGACGCAACGCGTAGAGCATAGCAGCGAAGCTTGCTTGATGGCCTACAAGCGATCAAAGAAGACCAGATGAGAGCTACATGTGGCTGTGAGGGCTGTTATGTATGTGGGTTGCCCATTGACATAAAGCCGTGGAAGCTGTATATCTTTGAGTACAACTAGCCGATGTTACAAGTTACGAGACTCAGGCGTGCCTTTAAACAAGACCACCAAAGCCAGAAAGACTTCAGGAACCCAACTGACACCATGTGACTGAATGATTACATTATAGTATCAATTACTGAATGGCTATTCGATGTAAATGACGCCACACACACACACACACACACACACACACACACACACACACACACACACACACACACACACACACACACAACACACACACACACACACACACACACACACACACACACACACACACACACACACACACACACACACACACACGCATGTATATATATATATATATATATATATATATATATATATATATGAATATAGATATAAACATATGTACATATAAATATATACAGTTATGTGCGTGTGTGTGTGCGTGTATGTGTGTATGTGTGTGCGTGCGCCTGTTTATGCGTATGCGGCTGGGGGTCCGCGGTCCGCAGTCCGGCGCACGCCTTGGACCGCTGTTTGTTTGAAGTTGCCAACGCGCCATCGATCGCCGCTGGAAGCGTTGCCGTTGGGGGGGGGGGGGGGGGGGGGTGGAGAGTGGGGAGCGTCACCTGATCAGTCCACCTGGACACACGGCCGGCCGAGGAGCCGGCTCGACCTCCGTCTTTGTCCTCCGCACACATACAGCCAACATGAAGGTGAGATCAACTCTGGAGTAGGCTGAAAGTGCGATAACTTACCGGTTTACCTGTATTTCATGTACTAGCCTGCCTCATGCTATCGCTATAACACAGATGAATATGCTGACACCAAATCTAAAATGCACGAAGAAAGTGGATAAAGGGGCGAGGCGCGTTTCTTCGAGAACGTCTTGCATGTTTCGTCACCATGTATGTCTCCGTCGTTTCACGTGCGCAGACTTTTGACGTGATCCCACGTGACCAAAGGCGCAACCATTATATTACGAAGTGGTACATGGCCACGAAATAAAAACGCCTCTGTTGGAGAATTTGACG